ATCAAATTCAATTAAATTATGTCATCTATATATATATAAAAAGCAATGTATGTGTGTGTCTGTGTGTGTGTCTGTCTGTCTGTGTGTCTTTTATGCATTACCACACCTCTTATCACATCGCCGTGAAACTTTGGGAAGCTGTTGAGAATATTCCTGGGGAGGTTTCTGCGAAAAAAAAAATTTCAAATTCGCAGGGGTGGCGCTCCGGCAAGGCGTGATTTGTTTTTCTCTATATACGGTATATAAAAATAAAAGTCTATTTTGATTTCACACGGTTCATCCGATAGCCATGAGACTTTGGGGAGTTCATTATAAAACTCTAGGGAAGGGTTCTGAAAAAAAAAAATTTAATTTCGCAAGGGCGGCGCCACGGTAGGGTGCGATTTTTCTCTATATACGGTATATTTTTTAAAAAGTCGATTTTGGTGTGAAACCGTTATCCGATAGCCATGAGACTTTGGGGGAGTTGATTACAACAATTCAGGGAAGGGTTCTGTAAAAAAAAAAATCCTTTTTTAATTTCGCAGTGGCGGCGCCACGGTAGGCTGCAATTTTTCTCTATATACGGTTTATAAAAATAAAAGTCTATTCGTTTGCACATCGTTCATCCGTGTACCATGAAAATTTGGGGAGAAGATTAGATCATTCAATGGTAGGGTTCTGCAAAAAAATATTGTTTAATATCGCAAGGGCGGTGCCCCCGGGGGGAGCGATTTTTTCTCGATACACGGTATATAAAAAATAAAACTCGGATGCAGTTCATCGGAATGCCATGAAACTTTAGGGAGTAGATGAGAATACTCCCGAGAATATTTCTGCGAAAAAGAAAACTAAAGTTTCTTATGGGCGGCGCCATGTAGGGTACAATTTTTGTTAATACACGGTTTGGCGCCCAGAGTTTTAGAGCGACTATGTTGGCACTTAGCATCCGTTAATCGAGCGTCCTGCGTAGCGTGTAAGGGGTACTATTATATTCAGTGGTAAAAGTACAATAGGCTTCTAAAAAATAACTTTGTAACGCAAGGAAATCTTGTACAGTTTCGTCACCTTGCGAAAGATGAAAAAAAATTTGTGTCCTTTCAAAACACTAGTTTTAATGCCCCAAAATTCCTCAAAGATAAGTGTTTTGAACGGACACAAATTTTGAAAATTCATAAAAAAACTAGTTTAAAGATATGCACTTAAAATGTTTAGCTGATTGCCCCAAAATATGGAAGAAGATTATGAATTGATTGTTTATTGGGCTTAAAATGTAATATTTTATGAATGGTGGAAAACCTACGAAGGGGTAAATTTTTCAAGATGGCCGCCGTTGTCGTAGTTACCAAGATTTTTCCACCAATTTTTTTTAGTGGAAATGAATATGCCAATGTATCTTAATAAAGCTGTAAAGAAATAACTGTTTTCTAAAGAGTATTAAAAAAGTTTTTTTTACCGGAGCCTTCCCCCTTAATACTCAATTATTTTAAGGGAAAAAAATTGTTTAAAATATGAACCGAAACAAAAAATATTGAAATAAAATAAATATTTTTTTTTGTTCGCTTTTTACTTTTTCGTATATACGAAGTATAGAGAAAGTATTGTAATCGTGCACAAAAATAACATGAAATTTTGACAGTTTTCACCGTTTTACTTCTCAGTCCTTCATCACATCCGGAGTATAGAGGACTTATTTTAATCAGGCAAAAATTATAAATACAAATATATAAACGTTTTGGCGTTTTATGCGTTATCGAGTCGTAAAAACTGGACTTTGCATTTATGTCCGTTGTCTGTGTGTCCGTGTGTAAACACGATAACTTGAGTACCGTTAGAGCTAGGTTGATGAAATTTCATATATAAGTATTTTATCAAAATCGTAGACCCCGATCATATTTTAAGCGATTTCCGATAACCGGAAGTGGTACTTGATCTATTTTGAATTTTTCAAAAGCCTATAAGTTGACCGGAAGTACTAATGTACTCTATTTACGATTTCTCAAAAACGCATGTAAATTTCTAATAATATCCCGCACATTTATACACATTTTATTAGGCGTTCACTTGGTGTGGGACGGAGTGGTCTAGCGGTAGAGAGCTGGACTGCTAACCCGTTAGTCACGAGTTCGAATCCAAGTTCAAGTCAGTAGACCGTCCCTGAGTCCACCCAACTCTGATGGGTACCTAACTCCTGTTAGGGAAAGTAAAGGCAGCTGGGCATAGTGCTGACCACAATATTCTTCATATGCCGAGGTCACAGAACCAAGCGAACCCTACTTTACTTGCCCCATAGACCGTCAGGTTTGAAAGGGAAACTTTTCACTTGGTGTGCAATTATTTTTTTATGAGATTCTATTCTATTATAAAAAGTTTAAGTAATTAAAAATGGATAACAAATATTGTCTATGTCCTGAGTTACCATCCCTCGTAATTTGATATTAGAATATTCGAGAAAGTTTAGGGGAGATCACTCCCGGTTTATTTTTTTAATTAACAAAAACTGAAATCATCATTTAGAAACAGAGTTAAGGGCATGTTTACCTGGCTTTTATTTGACTTGATTCCTCGTGCTTTTTGTGTCATGTCTGGGTCAGAGTTTCTTTCAGGCATCTCTTCTGGGGGGGGGGGGGGGGTGGAGGTCGGGGGGGGGGAATAAAATGGATTTATATAGAAAACATACTTTTCCAGTGTCCGCTTTCCCCCTACTCGGACACAGTAAAGGTATGTTTTCTATTAAAATCCATTAATTCCCCCTTCCAGGTGAAAAAAAGTCTGTAAGAAACACTGATTTTGCTTTCAACGTTGTATAAGGTGGTCCATAAATCTTTTTTTATATTTGGTCACAGAATTAAGTGAACAAAAAATGTCTATGTGTGGGGGGTGTCGTTTATGCATTATGTAACGTTTACCTATCTATCAGCCAGATAGAAGGTGAACGTCCCCGGATTCTTTTTTCGGGGTTATATGCAAATGCCTTACGGCCTAAATGGATGAACACTAACACAACGACACACTAGGGCTCGAATTCGATGTCTAGGGAAAACTAGTGATACTATTGTAATTAACACTCATCCAATCTGCATACAACCTTTAATAAGCGAACACAGTTGTGGCAGAACACAAGGTTAAACTAGATAAAATATTTAATGTATAAAATATCAAAACCCAACTTACAAAATGTAAGAAAAAACACTATCACAGATTTCACCACTGTAAAAACTAGCCACAGGCCACACAACACTGCTATAGCTTCAAGAATTACTTGGCGACAAGTAATATTATACTAGAAGACTAAATCAACTTAAGAAAGCAAGGCACACACAGGACTTAAGTTCTCTCACGTTCAAATGGTCAGAATCTATTGCCGGACAATATGGACGGCTTGGTCGTAATGGACCGTTTGTTCCAGGTAGACTCTTGATCAAGGTAAAACTGCCACGTGTGGCGAGTGTGCGGGGCAATTAAAGACTTCTGCCACAGGGGAGGTCATCCTCAACTCATGTAGCCATTGGTTGGGATAGTCATCTGATCAGAATCATTCAATCAGATCTTAATGGAAAATTTCTACGTCTTAGACACCCTTGGTAAGACAGTGGAAAAACCCCAGGAGTTACACAATCATTCCATATAAGGTATTATACAATGTCAAAATAAAAGTGGAACCTGACTCGACCTAAGTAGGTCACAATTATTACACCTTTCATCTGATCGACATGAAATAAAAAACGATGTAAATTTTGAGCATACTCAATCAATCAATGGGAGGTTTCCCCGAAATGCTGCCTCGAAGCTTTGGGTTCATAGCCGGCCTAAGTATATAACTTGCCAACCCTCGGCGGCTTCGTTATTTTTTAGTTGAACATGCATACGAAATCTAATGCCTTTCCCCAGAGCGCCCCAACAGCAGGCAGGTCAGTTAGTTAGTGCTTAGATGTGAATGATTCAGCTCCGAGAACCTCACTACAATTAGCATAATTTATAGAGTACACCTACCATTTTAAGCGCCTGCAAATTTCGTTTATCTATAGCTTAAAGAGCGGAAAAATGAATTTTTGTCAGTTGTAAAAAATGTAATTTATGAATTCATTGAAACACACGAGTTAGAAACAAAATGAGAAAAAAAAAATTTTCGTCATCCATTTATTAAGTATTTCACTTAGATCTAGTTCTCAATCTACCTTTGCAATTAATGCGTAGCAAACATCGCAAATACTCCCTCTATCTAGCAGGTCAAATGACGTGTGTTACTACTTCTATTTAGCAGGTCAAATGACGTGTGTTACTACTTATATTTAGCAGGTCAAATGACGTGTTACTCCCTCTATCTCGCAGGTCAAATAACCTATATTAAACGTAGTGCTGGGTGTGTGCTGGTGTTAATTCAATGCTATATGTTAGATAATTCACATCCGCTTAGAATACACTTAATAAGCAAACAGTATTTATGTCATATTGGATTTTGCTTACAATTGAAATATGTAAAACTGTTGTGTTTACTTCCATAAACACTAATTTCTTCTAACCATGTGGTTATTGTGAAAGCACATATTTACTTTTGTGTTATCAAAAATAATTAGTCAAGACAACGGTTCGTATTGAGACTTTGGCCGATTCATCTACAACAATAAATATTAAGCTAACGTTCCCGAAGTCTACATATAAATATTTAATACAGTCAACTCTTTAATTTTTAAATTATAGTAACAGGCGATGTTATATTACTAAATATAAAAAAACTATTAGGATATACCCCATAGACAGCAATTGTGTATTTTATCATGAAAAACAATTGTTGTGACTTTCATTGTTTTACTTACCCTGGCCACTCCAGATGACTTTAAGAAGGAGTTGAGAGTAGTTGTTATAAATTTTTGAGTTTATAAAACAATTCTAAACGGCTTTTCAACGTTTATAATCGATACAAAAATTTGGCGTCGTTGTGAACACACGAAGAAACAGCATATAAGACAAAACAACCACCAAGAAGTTACAAAACGCGAGTAAATAAAACAAAGGCTCAATAACAATACATCAGTTTAATAATATCTACACTATCTACAACTATAGGCTTTTCTAAATACACACGCTAGTACACAAAGAAATATGAAAGTGCAGGACTAACCTACACAAACCTTGTTTGGAGAACCCAACTAAACTGAGACAATCGTTCTCACTCACCTTAAATACCGTTAGAGAAATCAGGTACTAACTGGTTGTCAAAACTCATGGCACGAGTTTGAATAGGAACGAACGGGAATAGGGTACAAAGTATAATCATCATTCACCCCACCATTACCTACACCCATATTTTTTTCCCCACGTTTTCTTTAACTTGCTTTCGCCTCTGTTTGTTTGTTTGTTTGTTTTTCCAATCAAATCTTGCGATCGAAATTTCGAGCACTTCCCAGTTAGCTAGCGCGCTGAACTTTTCAGGGAAGCTTTGTTTCGGATGACAATAGAATATTCAACTGTTATTATTATTAAATTGATCCATGGAAACATTTTATACCCCTATATAATTGTACAAAAAACGTGGGGGGAAAAGGGACATAACCCAGTAACTGTAATTTGATGAAAACAAGGTTCGGTACTCTCCCTCTTTTTCTTACTGAGTTGTTGTCACGCGGTGTTTGTCTACAAACAACCAGAACGTAACAACTGGTGGCCAGTATGGGGGAGACGATATGGTCGAGTGGTTGGGCACACGATTGCTAACCCACTCGACACGGGTTCAAATCTATGTGTTCTAGTCAGTAACGTATTCACACAACGTGTTTTTTACGAGTTGTCTTTTTACGAGTTGTCTTCGTTTACCCAAAAAAGGGGCAGAAAGTTTTTACATATGGTCTGTATGAGTTATACATTGCAGACAGTAGAGTTTGATCATATGATTTAAGATTCTATACCTCTCAATATAATGATTAAGGTCATTTAGCAAAAGATGAAAAAGTGTTTATAAAAAAAGATTGTCTGCTCAGAAGTTTTGATGTCACTGTACCTGTTGGCCAGATGCCACTGTGACTGCTGGCCTGATGTCATTGTACTTGTCTAATGGAGGTTGTTTTACCTGTCAACTTGATATTCTGTCATGTTCCTGTATGTCTGACGGAGCTGTTTGTGAATAGTGTAAATGTGTAAAGTTAAGAATTAGGATTGTGTAACAGTAGGGCCTACATATATTGTAAACATCTAGTAAATGTAAATAAATGAATTGAACTTTGTGTTTTATTTTAGTTAGCTTCTGTTATTGTTAATAATGTAAACAAAACCATGCGGGTATAAAAAAAAAACCCTGGGTTTCTAAAAGTTGTAGCTTACTTCTCCTATCTTACACATTTACAGATAACACCCATAAAAAGTAGGCTACATAAAGAAAAAAAATTGTACACATGCAGCTGACATTATAGAATGCTATTTCCTTTTACAGTCAGAATACAATTTCTTTTTAGAGTATGTATAATAATTGACATGGTATACTCTTTGACAAAAGAACCTTTTCATAATACAAATATTAAAATTAATAAACTATGGCCCACTATTCGATGACCCTAGTTAAAGTTATGTGAAGAAAAAATTATAACAAGATATTCAATAATAATTTGCTCTAGAATTAATTATTGATGTTAAAAATGATATTAAATTTGTTTTTAGTCATGATGAATTTCCTGGATTACCTTTAGAATGAATTTTTATGAGTATTTAAATTAGATAATTGACAAAATCTTTTGTGACAAACATCAACATTCATGTGGCTTATCTCCTGAATGAACTTTGAGAAAATCTTTTATGACAAATACCAGATTAATGTGGCTTGTCTCTTGAATGACTTTTTCAAGAGCACTTAAATAAGAGCTTTAAGAAAATCTTGTATACATACATATGGCTTATAACCTGTAAAAACACAAAAATCATAACACATTATACTTCCAAGTCAACTTTTTGTGATAAATATCACTATCATGTGGTCTCTCTCTTTAATGAATTTTTTTTGTGTGAAGATAAACAAGAAATTTGAGAAAACCTTGGATGTCAAACGTCACATTCACGTGGTCTTTCTCCTGAATGAACATTTTTATGTCTTAATAAACTAGAACTGCAAGAAAACCTTTTATGACAAACATCACATTCATGTAGCCTTTCTCCTGAATGAACTTTTTTATGGGTTTTCAAAGTAGAACTTTGAGAAAACCTTTCATGACAAACATCACATTCATGTAGCCTTTCTCCTGAATGAACCTTTTTATGTGATTTTAAATTAGAATTTGTAGAAAACATTTTATGACAAACATCACATTCATGTGGCCTTTCTCCTGAATGAACCTTTTTATGTGATTTTAAATGAGTACTTTGAGAAAACCTTTTATGACAAATATCACATTCATGTGACTTACCTCCTGAATGAACCTTTTTATGTTTTCTTAAATTAGTACTTTGAGAAAACCTTTTATGACAAACATCGCATTCATATGGCCTTTCTCCAGAATGAACATTTTTATGACTTAATAAATGAGTATTTTGTGAAAACTTTTTATGACAAACATCACATTCATGTGGCCTTTCTCCTGAATGAATTTTTTTATGTGTTCTTAAATTAGAATCTTGAGAAAACTTTTTATGACAAACTTCACATTCATGTGGCTTATCTCCTGAATGAACCTTTTTGTGTGTTCTTAAATAAGTACTTTTAGAAAACCTTTTATGACATACATCACATTCATGTGGCCTTTCTTCTGAATGAACCTTTTTATGTATTCTTAAATAAGTACTTTGAGAAAACCTTTTATGACAAACATCACATTCATATGGCCTTTCTCCTGAATGAACCTTTTTATGTTTTCTTAAATTAGTACTTTGAGAAAACCTTTTATGACAAACATCACATTCATGTGGCCTTTCTCTTGAATGAATCTTTTTATGTGCTCTTAAATTAAAACTTTGAGAAAACCTTTTATGACAAACATCACATTCATGTAGCCTTTCTCCTGAATGAACCTTTTTATGTGATTTTAAATTAGAATTTGTAGAAAACCTTTTATGACAAACATCACATTCATGTGGCCTTTCTCCTGAATGAACCTTTTTATGGGTTTTCAAAGTAGAACTTTGAGAAAACCTTTCATGACAAACATCACATTCATGTGGCCTTTCTCCTGAATGAATTTTTTTATGTGCTCTTAAATTAGATTTTAGAGAAAACCTTTTATGACAAACATCACATTCATATGGCTTTACTCCTGTATGCATTTTTTTGTGATCACTTAAGCCAGAACTTCGAGTAAACCTTTTATTACAAACATCGCATTCATGTGGCCTTTCTCCAGAATGAACATTTTTGTGAGTTGATAAATTTATCTTCTCACTGTCTTGAGCTGTTTTATGTTTTTTAAAGTTAGAACTTTGATAAAACCATTTCTGTTTGTGACTAGAAACAATTTGATATCTTTTGTCTCTAGAAAACTGAAGATTTTCTTCAACTTGAAGTTCAAGCCTTTTTTGTGTTTTATCCTCAAAAAAAATAAATCCTGTCAATAATTCTGGTTTTGAATCTTTACTTTCTGATAAAGTTGTGACTTCTGATTTGTTATCTTCAGATGTTGATAATGTTGATACAGCAGGCTTTTTATCTTTACAAATTAAAAACTCAGTTGTAACATCAGGTTTAACATCTTGCAAGCTTATAAACGTTTTGTTGGGTGTAAATTTATCAAGAGATGAAAAACTTGAAAATTCTGTTTCTGTGTCATTAGAAGAAGAAAATTCTGTTGTAGTATATGGTTTAACATCTTGAGAAGATGTGAATGTCAAGTTGGGTTTTGCATCAACCATAGATGAAAATGTTGTAAATTCTGTTTTTATGTCTTGAGAAGATGAAAATATTGTTGATAGATCTGGTTTCAAATCTTCTGTTAATTTGTGTGACTGTTCATCTACAATAGACAACATTGCAGCTAAATGCTCTGTTTCCTCTTCCATTCTTGACTGCTTTTTTATAAATCAGCTGATGATTAAAAATGTTATAAATGTTAAATTGAAAAGTGGTGATTATAAAGTCAGAATAAAGTATTATTATAAAAATGGCAAAATTAATGGCAGAAGGTCTGTTAATCTTTTCTCTCAGTCTGATGTGATCTAAAAATAGATTGCCAGTAATGCCAAGGTCATAAGATTAGGACTGCATATTAATATTTTCTAAATATTCTTAAAAAAACACAAATTTGTAATCCAGTACTGCTTATTTTGGCTAACGATTGAGGAATTACCAAATGTGCTTAGATCCTCTTACATCCAGTTGAGGTTAAATATATATTGTCACTTGGTTGAGAGAAATAAGAACAGTGTTTATTTCTTTGAAAGGATGAGAGAAGATATTGCATATTTCTTCGAACATAAGACTTAAATCGAAGATGAAAAACAATGACATTTTTAATGTCAAAAGATACTTATTTCATTAATTAAGCTAAAATTCTTAATATTTGTATTGAAAAAAAAAATTAATATTTTCTTTGACTATTTCTAGCCCTGACCTTTTAACCTAGCCTTAACCCAAACCTTGACCCTAAACTTAATTAAGATATAATGAATTAAAAAAATAAAATATTAATGTCATTAGCACTAATAAATAAATAAACTCAATTAAAATAAGTTTTAATTGCAAAACCCATACTTGAGATTTCTTCACACTAGTGATTCTACCATGCAGCACTCAAAATAATTAGTAAAAAAAATAATAAAATATTAAATTAAACAAACTTCTCTTGAAAATTCAAAAATATACACTTCAATTAAAAAATTCTAAAAATATGTAAGCCTACAAATAGAAGCAAAATATAACCACAAGATATGAGAGGATATATGAATGATGCATTTTCACTATTGTTCGTGGCTATAAAAAAAGTATTTCCATATAATACATTATTCATGTATCTAAAAATATATTAATAATTCCTAAATATATACTTGCATGGTCAACAGTCATGTAATCTGTTTGTCTTTTTTTGTGCTTTATAACAAAGCTTTTTAGGTGCAAAAAACTATTGAGCAAAAAAAAATTACATATCTTCTCATTAGTTCCCCATTTATTGACCATAGATAATTCTTCTAGGCCTGTCAGCATTGCTTATAGTTACAGCCTCTAGATCTATTCTTGGTCTAGTAAGTTACAAACTGAGGCATGACCACGTGACACAAAGGAAAGTCCATTAAATTATAATATAAAAACAAATTAAAACAAAAAATTCAATTTAAATAAGTCTAGGTCTATAAATCTAGATATTACGAGATAATAGTTTATTAATAGTAAATTCAGATCTTATTGAATGAAGGGGGAATTTATATAGGCCTACCAGTGTCCGATAATACAATTTTCTTTAACAGGGGGTGTTAGGTTACTGGTAGTAGGCATTTTGATGAAAATTTCAAATGATTTATTTTTTTTATAAAAAATGTACCAATAGTAGCTAGCACACTAGTAAACTAAGCCAATTTAGCAATATTTTAACTTTCTGTGCAAAGTCATTATTACTGAAAAAAATTCCAGTCAGGTCAGCCTGTGTCACCCTCCACTGAACTTGACTGAAAAATAAAATACTTGACCTGTGACCTTCATTAAAACAGAATTTACTGATGTTTTTTTTTTATTAGTATTAAAAATGTGCTTAATCTTACCCAAATAAGTAATAAAAATTAGAACATTTATTTTAATTACTATTGTTAATTTAGATAAACATTTAATAAATCACGAGTTTTTTTAAGGGGGTATGGCACATTGCAATTGGAACTTTATATTTCTGTGTTTTATGACTATGTTTATTATTTATACACAATCAGCATGCTATGCTTTTGAAAATTGATAAAGGGGAAGTATACCAAGTTACAAAATATGCAACCTAACTAATAATTCATAATTTTAGTTTAAAAAATAATAAAAACGATCATCAATGAAGAAAGCGTAAACATTCAATTTTTAGGTATGATAAAAAACAGACATAAATCTAGATATAAATCAGACATAAAACTATCTTGCGCAGCACACATTTTCCGACGCCTTGTTTTCACCAAAAAAGATTATAATAAAATGGCATAAATTATTACCAGTTAATTGTAATGTGTGTTAAATTAATACTTTAAAGTTTATGATTCGCGTAAGCTGGTTTATGATTAAAGCAATACTTCAGTTATTTGATTTAAAAGACAGACAAAGACTAAAAAGTAGAAAATAATTATCATTAAAAAAGTTTTAAAAAACCCGTTTTCTGATTGAACTAAAAAGTAGAAAATAAATGCTATACAATACTATACATCACAATAATGCAAGCGATCACTCTACTATAAGCGATGAAAAAGGTGGGGCGCCATGATTTTCTTACAGTTTCTAATACTTATTACTGTTGACTCTCTACAAGCTCCCTAATAAAAGTCAATAGTATTATCTAATCAATAGTAATATAACTTTTACATCTTATATTAACAATGACCGATAAAAAACTTTTACTTCGGCATAAAACCAACATTTCCATCCATCAAAATGGTTTGGCATTACTTACTTACTAGGTTCCTGTACTTATTCTCTTTTTTTAAAGCCGAAATTTCGTTCCGAAAGTAGCGGTTCGGTACTGCGCGGTTTCCATCGATTTTCGCTATCATCGTTAGGTCGCTTTCAGTATCGAGTATTGTAAACAGCTACTTCTATCAATGAAACATTTAAATGATAAAATTCAACGCATATGATAGTATCGAATATATTTAATTTTTCGATTCTGATGGCGAATTTTTTCAAGTACGCATGAAAAAGTCCGGATAAAGTTTGGATCGCAAGATGGCGGCGAGTCGAAAAGCCTACTAGGCCTACTAGATCTAGATCTAGATCTACATCTAACAACCCAACACACCTATTTTATGGATGAGCCTATTATCGGACATCAGTATCTAAAATCATCCTGAATGAATATTACCGTGCAAGCGCCAGATAATAAAATAACAGCTTAATGGATAAGTTTTTCTGAATTACGCAATCTCAACATCATCTGAAAAACAGCTGCCATCTTTATTTTAAAATGGGCTGTATTTTTCAGAAAACGCCGGTAGGTGGCGCCACAAAGAATGGTCAATATTGCTACACAGAGTAGCCACCCTTGACACTAGGTGGCGACACGCACACCAAGGTTAAACCATTTGTAAACAAACATGTATGCTGATATTTAAATACATAAATAGTATTGTACTATTTACTGGATAGCCTTTCTAGTTATTGTACTCCCATTTTAATTATATAATAATAAAAGTGTATAAGTCTGAAAAATGGCAGCATATTGCGCTGTACCAAAGTGTAGGGGAAAAGGTGGACACCTATTCCCCAAAAATAAAGAACTTCGTTCCAGATGGATCGCATCTATGATCTATCTATCTAGGCCTTCCTATTTCATTTACTATTTATTAATGGCTATTATTAACAGTTTAAAAGCTATTAAAAATTAATTCTGTCTAATACTAATTCAGTAATTCTAATCATTCTAATCTAATACAAATAGTATAGGGCCTATGTGTTATATATATATATATATATATATATATATATATATATATATATATATATATATATAAATATATATATATATATATATATATATTATATATATCATATGTCAGAATCGTAGGCCTTGAACTAAGTGTTGCCTGTACTCTTAGTCTAATCACCAATCGTAGTCTTACATCTCTATCTAGACTACTATTACCACGCTACTCAATAATCTATAGGCCTATACTCTCAAATAAATATTACCATTTTATAGACCCTAGGCCTATTTATTTTAAATTTAATAATAGGTCTTTAATTTTAGATTAGGCATAAATTCTGGTAATTTATTAAGTAGGTCAAATTATCTGATTAGGCATACTGTATTATTCATTATAATCATTCATTATAATCTAGGTCCGCCATTCGATTTCTATTACTTTAGACCTGGCATAATAATAATAACAACACTAATAATTAAGAACGAAGAAGAAGAGAGAAGTAAAAGAGACCTGGCATAAATTTAAAATTACTATTTCTAAATTGAATTAACCATTGCCAGAAAAACTGCTTATATTAATTCTATGATAAAATATTTATTTCAGGCAATCCCTGAATTCTTAAATGTTTGAAAAAGAATGGACAATATCCCCCAAGACACTTGAAGTGGCTAGAAAAAGAAGGCTATTAAAACGAAGAGAAAGGACAGAAACTGCGGAACCCCACCAAGAGGACAACATTACTGTGGTGAAAAGTATCTTGGGAGAAGGATCAACAGTTGAAGACCCAGGAACATCAGAAATGGTCGTGTGCAACCTAGACATTGGGGCTGAAGAAATTGTTGGTGAGTTCTGTGAAGACCCAGGTCCAGAAGTAATAGCTATTGGGTGCAGTAATACCACAGAAGAGGAGACAAATGTATTAGAATCAGTTAAACAACGTTATCTTTCATTTGAAAGGATAAAGGACAATGACAAACTTGTCAATCACTACACTGGCTTGGACAGTACAGCGACTTTTTTACTGTGTTTTGGTCATTAGGGAGAGGGGTTGATAAATTAAATTACATTTATACACAGTCTTGTGAATGTCTGTGTACACATGACCAACTTAATTAGATTAAGGCACCATTACCCTGTAATTGAACTTGCTAGAATGTTTGATATTTCCAATTATACTGTTCAAAATATATTTATTACATGGATTAATTTTTGTGCTGTTCAGTGGGGGGAAATAAATATGTGGCATAAAAGGAGTTCATTTCAAGCAAAAGGGTTCATGTTGAAAGGATTATTGGTATGGCAAAAGTTTACAAAATTTGTAAACAGCCTTTAAATTCAACAGAAAGTAGACTAGCTACTCAAATACTTAAGGTATGTTTTTTTATGTAACTTTAGGAAGAATATTGTATCTCCCAATGCTTCAATTTGTATTTTGTAAAGAACTGCTGTATTATATTAATGAACTTTTTATGTATGTATTGACTC